CTCTAATCTGTTGTAATGTCTTTGTAGTCTATACTATTGTCTAGCCCTGCAGGAAGACATGTTTTTTTTAAGGCATAATATAGATCCAATAAATGTCCCAATTTTAACTGTATATTTCATTGAGTTTTGACAATTTCATTTACCCACAGAACCGGCAGCACAATCAAGATACAGGATATTTCTATCACTGCCCCTACCAGACTAATAGATCTCTTACTTTTCCCCACTTAACCTCTCACCCCAGGCCCCATGTAACTGTTCATGTGTCTTCTGTTGTTAAAGATTAGATTTACATTTTTCTAGTGCTTCATATAGGAGGAACTATGCAGTATATACTCTTGTATGTCTGGCTTATTTTTTGCTTAACATAGTGTTTTTAAGATTGATCCATGCTGATGTGTGAATCAGGAAGTTGTTCCTTTCCATTGCTGGTGGCATGCCATATGTGACTATAGCACAGTGTGTTTACCCACCCACCCTGCCGATGATTCGGGCTGTTTTCAGTTCGAGGGCTATCACAAAGTACACTGCTATGTAACTCTTTGGGTGGGCACAGGCTTTCACTTAGGTAAGTAAGATAGGAGTGGGTGTGGTAGATCACATGGTAAACTAAGTTTAGCTTTTTAAGAGACTGCCAAACTGTTTTCCAAAGTGTTTGTGCCATTGTGTATTCCTAGCAGCAATGTTCAAGCTGCCACAAATTCCTGCTCACACTTTGTGTTGTCAATCTTTTCAATCTTAGTTATTCAAACACATGAGCATCAAATGGACCTCTCATTGTGGTTTTAATTTGCACTCCTGAATGACTAAGGATGTTGACTATGTTTTCCTGTGCTCATTGGCCATTTGTTTTCTTCTTTTGTGAAGTATGGGTTCAAATTATTTGTCCACTTTTAAACACTCAGTTTATCTTATTGTTGAATTCTTTATATCCTTTATATATGTATATTTTGTTCAGTTCTTTGTATATTCAGGATACAAGTCCTTTAACAGGTATGCATATTGAAAATATTTTCTAATTTGTGGTTTGCTTTTCATTCTCTTAACAATAATTTTGAAGAGTAGCAGAAGAGATGCCACTGTCTGCTCCCACCCCCCCACCCACCCCCACCACACTATCTCCTTCCCTCTCCCTTCCTGGCACTACATTCTCTAGAATTAGGACAACTTGTAGTTAAAATAAATAAAGAAATTTTATAAGTCAATAGGAAAAAGACAAAAAGCCTAATAGAAAAGCAAGCAAATGATATGAACAGGCAACTCAGGGAGGTGGAAACCCAAAAGATCAATAAACAGGTGAAAAGAGAGTCAGGCTCACCAGTCGCTAGAGAAATGCTAGCTAACAAAAGATGACATTTCATGAGCATTATCTGATTGAAAAAACAAAAAAGACTGAAAAACAAATGAAGTTCAGAACCCATACAAGGTTGGCCGGAGTGTAAATTGAAAAACTGCTTTGGGGAGCAATTTGGCAGTATCTTGTAACTTGAAGGTGATCACCTGCAACTCAGCCCTTTCCCAAAGAGCTATGCATTCTGGAGAAGTTCGGGTGCACGTGCACAAAGACATATATAGGGATGCTCATTGTTTACAGTAGGGAGACCTGGAAGTAAGGGAAATGCCATCAAGAAGGAAATACAAACATAAAATGCCTATCACAGTGAACTAGATCTGTATGTAATAACACTGTATCAGTCAGCTGTGCCACCATAATGCTGAATTATGAAACCTGAACTCCATGGGCACGTATTAAAAGATGAAATGGGGTCCTCATTTCATCTCTGGAGAATCCGTTAACAGACCCGAGTAAGTTCCAGTGTTGTACAGGGTCATTTTATTGAGTGATTCTATTTTTTTAAATTAAGTATCATTGATATATAATCTTATGATGGTTTCACATAAGCAACACAGTGGTTACAACACTCACCCATATTATCAAGTCCTCACTCCCCCATTGCAGTCACTGTCCATCAGTGTAGTAAGATGCTATAGAGTCACTACTTCTCCGTGCTGTACTGCCTTCCCCGTGACCCCTCTTCATTATGTGTGCCAATCATAATGCCCCTCAATCCCCTCCTCCCTCCCTTCCCACCCAACCTCCCCAACCCCTTCCCTTGGGTAACCACGAGTCCGTTCTCGGTACCTGTGAGTCCACTGCTATTTTGTTCCTTCGGTTTTGCTTTTTTATACTCCACAAATGAGTGACATCATTTGGTATTTGTCTATTCAGTGATTCTTATGCAGGGTCATTCACGTGGAGAGTGGTCTGAGTCGGCCTAGACTTTGGTCGTCTGCCCTCGCTCTTCTGGTGTTACAAGCGAAGCGAACTGTGGTGGCTGCCAACTGACTTCGCTCCTGGAAACGCCGTGGCTTATAAACAAAGGCCACTTCCAGCACACAGATACTGAGATGCCTGGGAACAACGGTAACCACCTCCTCTCAATTTCGTCTCCTCTGCTCATATCCTATTGCTATCAAGGATCCCTTTCTGTTCAGAGCAATCAAAATTACTCAAAGAGCTTACTTGAGGAGCTTCATCGAGGATGGGTGACCCTGCAGCCTGCAGTTCACTTGTCTGTATCTCCTCTTCCCCACAGGGCACCCGGGCTGATGGGTGACCCTATTACAGATCAGAATGTACCAAATCGCTCAGGGATGTTGAGGTGGGAAAAAGTTGCAGAAGACTATGTGCAAGCCTGGTACTAGAGCAGCACCATGTCGGCAAGGCTCCTTAGCTCTTTGCCCGTTGCTTTCCCCAAGGAGCGCCTGGCACCTAGTAACTGCTTAATAAACATTAGCCACGGTGGTGGTAGTGTGCCATTCAGGCTATGGTATCATCTGGAGAATAGTCCCTCACAGCCAGGCTCTAAGGCCACGACCTCTATCATCAGTGTGACGCACCCACAAGGGTGTCTCTGGAGGTTCAATCCCTCTGCGGGCACTGCCCTCTGCTGGCCACTCTCTGAGTGTGCAGCTTAGCTCACCTTGGCTGCCTTCCAGATGGGCTTGTGGATCCAGGGTGGCCTCCAAGTGGGCTTCCTTCTCTGCACTACATATGGGGCAGGGGGATCCTGCCCTAGGCCCCTGCCCACCCTCAGGGCTCTTTTGCTTTGTGTAGGTTCTCGGTCTGTTAGAGGCTGACATTTACTGATGGTGGTGTGTTTGTGGGGGGAGAGTGCTTCTTGCTTCAAATGAGCTATAAAAGGACTCCCAGAACATAGCACGTTGGTCCAAACGGTGCACTAAGAGACTCGACTGACCTAGCACCGTCCAGCAGCCTGAGGCCACATCCCTGGGACGACCTAGCCCCATGGAGTTCCTGGCTTCGAGATACAGGTGTATTATCCCTGCAAGCTGCGAAGGTCTTTCTCAAGGACCTGGAAGCCAGTCCTCTGCAGTGACATCGGGAAGGATTGGCCTCTGTCCCCATTCTCTGTGGGGGACACAACTGGCCAGGTGGCACTTACACTGACCGACCCATGGGATTTTTCATTTCCTGATCTGCTTGAGCCTCTGCTCGCACCTTCTCCCGCCTCCCTCCAGGCCTCTCTAACGGCCGTCACCTCCACAGTAGCACCGAGTGCAGATGTCCCTGCTGTCAGTAGTGATGAACTATGACCCGATCTCTCTGCCGTAACTGCTGTCCAGCTGTGGTCATCCTGGACAAGACCTGCTCTCCCTGTGATTCTGGCGTTGGATGAGGGAAGACATCTGTGACAAGAGAGCCATCCTCACGAAGCACCAGATCCTGGAAGGGAGCCGAGGGCACCTGAGCTCCCGCCACCCTCCGTCCCCCTGAATGGCCACACAGGGAGGCGGGCAAATCACTGTGCTGGGCCAAGAGCTGCCAGCCCTGAGCTGCGGAGGCTGCGAGGAGAGCAGGGCATTCTCTCCCCAGGGCTGCCCCTCTGCAGGACCAGAGGGGCAGACACACCTCCCGAGCATCTACAAGAGCCCAGCAACAGGAAGCCAAGACCCCAGAGGAGGCAAACCCATTTGTGAGGGAAGCACCCGTTGGCAAGAAAGCCCTCCCCAGCCCTGGGCCTCAGATCCTTAGCACCCGGACCTGAGGTCCAGAGATGGGAAGGCGGCTGGGGGAGCAGGGGGCCCAGGAGGCTGGTCCGGCTCCAGTTGCAGCTGCAGCCTCATGGGATGCAGCCCCAGGCCCAAGAAGTTCCCCTCCTCGTTTTGTTCCCTTTTGTCTCTCTCTGTCTCTCAGAGGCCCAGGGACCCCCCAGGCTGTCCCTTGTCCAGCTCACCTTACCCGTCCCTGTGCCCTCTCAGAGACCCTCTGGCGCCCTGGACGGCTCCCTCCCCTCGAATCACTACTGGGATTCAGGTTATACTCACCGGGCTCTGCCCCCGCCCCAGGGCCTCAAGGCTCACCCACTACTTTCTGCTGGGGACCCCCACCTGGTCAGGCACACCTTCCCCCTGCCCTTCAAACGCCCCAGCCTACCACTACGGACACCTCCCCGTGGATGCCCCGGACACACCTCATTCACCAGGACACAGAGGAAACCCCAGGTCACCGCTTCCCCTCTGAAACCTCAGTCACTGAGCCATTGCAGCCACCAGGTATGCCTATTGCCCAGCACAGGGTCCATCACCCAGGGCAGCCCCCACCAAAACCTGCCTCCTCACTGTCCCCACAGCCAACCCGCAGGCACCTCCAGCCCCTGGGCCTCCAAGCCACCTCTCACCTGGGGGCCTGTTAACAGGCTCCTGTCTACGTGCACCCCGTGGAGATCATCCTAGGAACTGGGTCGTGTCACTCCCCTTCTGTGGCTTCACATCACCCTTGGAGCCAACGCCGGTTCTCCAGGCCCTGCTAGCCTGGCCCTCCTCATTCCCCATGCCCAGACTTCTTGCAGCTCCCCCTGGGCGCTGTCCTCCTGGCTGTGGGCTGCCAGTGCCCCATTCACTCTGGCCCCTGGCCTAGTGCAGGGCACAGGCCCAAGGCCCTCAGGCAATGAGGAAGGAGGCAGGCCACACTCGAGTTTGTTGGGACCTGCTTTATTGCACAGCCCCAGAGCCGTGTGCTCTGAAACGTGGCGCCCAGGTGAGGGGGGGGGTCAAAGTTCCACTTGAATAAATCTTCCGCCTTCATCTTCCTCCTCCTGCCAGGCCTGGTTCTGAGCAGAACCCAGGACAGCTGGAATGCTTTCCTTCAGCTCTCAGGAGAGCGCAGTTCCCCAGGCCCACATCCCAGAGCCGCAGCATCAAGCAGCTGCCAGTCCCCTTTCCTGTGCCCCAGATCCACCCCAGGAGCCCATGGGAACAAGGTGGGCGGGGCGGCAGCAGCCCGCAAACTCACCTCGGCCAGGACTTCGCCGCCACTCAGTAGTCCCTAGACGCGGCTCAGGCCCTGAGTACGATCCACACTCAACACCTCCCACCGCGGGAGGGCCACGGGGGTCAGGACAGGAAGGGAGTCAGGGGACGGGGTGTTAGAGGGAGGCCCCAGTCTGGGCTGAGCAACAGGCCAAACCGGGAACCCAGAAGTGCAGGTGAGCCATATCACCGTCTACCACTGTCATAAAAGGGATGCCCACTAAATGGAATGCCAATCAAATAAATAGTCAATAAATAGGTGAGACTGGCTTTTTCCCCAGGTAGGCAACATGGGAGAACAGGGGACCCCAGTTAGCTAGGGGGCTGTGGGCAAGTGTCTGAGGTCTCAGCCTCCCCTCTCTGGGGAAGATGAGGGCATGGGCTGGGAGGGCCTGGGTTCCCTCAGGGCTGATGCCCGCACATTGTCTGCCAGCCCTGGGCAGGCCAGGTTCTTCCCCATCACCCACCACCGAGCGCCGAGCCCAGGTCACTCCAGGCAGGCAGGTCTGGTGCAGGCCTCAGGGGCCAGGGCAGACCCAGTGGCCTGCAGTGCTGCCCAACCACTGCCCACACCCGCCTCTCTTCCTCCTCCTGGCCCCAGGTGACCTCGGCGCTGCTGTGAGGGGCTCTGAAATCCGTCCCCACTGCGGCCGAGTGCAGGGGTCCCGGCCCAAGGCAGGAGCTGCCTGCAGTCCCTTCGGGCCCATGAAGTGCTCACACTGAGCCTCTGAGCAGGCGGGAGCCCATCCGCAGAGAGGCCAGGAGGGAGGTGGGACAGCATATTCTGAGGAGACACGCCTTTCTGAGCAAGCCAACTTAGGTGACTTTGTAACTTAAAGGATGCTAAACATAGGTTTCAGTCTGGGTCTAAATAACTGTTGCTTTTGTGAGTGTGAAATGTTTTCCCATTACTTCAGCATTTTCAGAAATTTCACATCTACATGTGTCAGAAAATTAACGAATTCCAAGGAAGGCCTTTGATACGCCAGCTGACAAAGCGCCTCCACCCCACGGGTGAGGAGGTCCCCAGAGGAAGATGCATCCTGAGCTCACGCAGCAGGATGGCAGCAGCGCGAGGATGCCCGGCCCTGCCTCCCCGCCCGGCCCTTCCTCCCTGGCCCGGCCCAGCCCAGGCTCGGAGCACTCCGGGCTGGACACCCTTCCCCGCAGGATACGCAGCCTTCCTTGGGCCGCCCCATTTGTAAAAGGCAGATCCCACCTTTGCCAGCTGCTGGGCAGAACCTACTTGGGAGGCGCAGTGGAGGGCTGAGGGATGGGCACCTCCTGCTCCAGCCTGACTCTGGGCTTGGGGCTTCCCGAGACCTGGACTGGCTGGGGTCTCAGGGGAGGGGGCACCCAGGGACCAGAACACAGCTGTGGGGGTGGGGATGGAGGGGTCATCAGGGACAGCCGAGCCGAGATCATCCAGACAGCTGGGGCACCTGGAAAGCACATCACGTGAAGGTGTCACCCCCTCGCCGTGGAGACCCCTGCCCCACCAGCCCCTAACCCGGACAGCCTCTTGGCCCTGCCGCTGCCCTGAACACTCAGCTTACCTCCACCGTCCCTCTGTCCAGTTAGCATCTCACTGCCCCTGTGCCCGGCCCTCCCTCACTCAGGGCAGATGCTGCATCTGCAGCTCCCCACTCTGTGACCGGCAAGCCCACAGTGGCAGTGGGACCCCGCATGCCTCCCCAGGGACCTGGGTTTCCACACATCCCTGGTGTCTGCCACAGTTGCCGGGCAGGAAGGGAGTAGGTGTTCTGCTTTGTATTTCCTGAACGTACAATGCCTGAACGCAGAGGTGAACTCTTACAAAGGCCCTGCCTGCTCTTCCTCCCCACCCACAGGGCCTGGGCCCCAAGTACCTGGGCCGAAGCAGCAGCGGTCACTCCCACAGGAAGCGCACGTACCAGATGGTCTCATTTTTCAGCTGTGGCCCGAACAGGGGGTTCAGCTGCGCCAGGATGGTGATGAGCCAGCTGCCGGGCACAGCACAGGGACGGTGAGGCCAGACACAGAAGGAACACCACGTGCCCACCTCACACGAGCACATGACCAACCCAGCCGCCACAGGGTTCTCTGTTCGAGAGTGACGGGCCCCACGGAGCCATCCACGCTCCAGCTAGCACGTGGCCTCGGGCTGGGGTTAGTGGGATGGTTTAGGTTTGGTTTGATTTAATGTTTTGTAGGTTTCTAAGGTCCCTGGGCTGAGGCTGGACTCTGGGATTAGGGAAGACGGAAGTGAGCCTCCAGCTGTGCACTGGGGGCGGCTCCCAGCTGTGCCCTAACATGTCTCTGGTCCGGGCCGCCCCAGTCTGCACTGGGGAGCACGCCAGGGCAGGTCTGACGGAAGGCACATCAGGACCCCTTGTAGGAGCAAGATGAAGAACGACCCCATATGCAGGGCTGATGACCGGAGTGCACCACCCCCAGGCCTGCTGGGGACAGGACAGGGGCTGTCCTCCAGGCCAGTGAGCTTTCCAGGGACCACTGGCAAGCTGCACTGTACTTGGAGTGGGTCAGGCCCTGCCATCATGACTTCCTGTGCCCACAGTAGCAGGCTCTAAAGACTGTGGAGGTGCGTGACCTCACATGCCCCAAACAGCGGTACCAGGGGTGCCATCTGGTTTTGTAGGATGGATCCCACTCTTTCACCTCTGAATCCCCTATGGCAGCCAGTCACATGTTTGATGCCCAGGAAACTGTCAGAAGTTGTTGCCTGCCCATTATCAGCATTATCCTGAGTTTATGGCTTGTAAATATAGTTTCTGGGCATGGCATTTCTCAAGTTGCCCCACTTTTCTAGCCTGTCAGTATCTGATTTGCACCCAGCTTTCCTGCCTCTTATGATTTGGTATTTTTAATTACCCACATCCTGGGTATACTCTTTCTTCCCCATGCTCCCAGCTCCCATCCTCCATGTCCTGGTCTCCAAGGCATCAAACCCCAGCCCCTCAGAGGTCCTTCCTGGACAGATGAAGACATTCTGCCAAGCTGAAGGACAGAATAACAGCATAGGGAAAGGGCCTTAGAGACACTTTGTCCAGAGAGAATTCTGAAAAACCATATGCCCTCATGCATTTAAGCTATCATCTAAGGGTCCTCATTAGTTTTCATCTTTTTTTGTGTGTATGTGTGGTTATTAGGAAGTAGAAAATATTAAACATTATATAAAGTGAAATAAGAGAGAATTGGCTAATAGTAATAAATAGCTCATGATCTAATTAGATAAAACAGGTTTTAACTATATAACATGCACCAAATCTGAAATCAATCATGTAAATTTTTAAATGTGGGTTTTATCCTATGGATATTGAAAATTTTGGCAGTCTTGAGAAATAGTCAGTACTTTTAAAAGAATGTGTTACCTTTTAAAGAATCAGCACCTCATCATGTTACCTGTCCTATTTTGATTGTTCTGAATTCAGAACATCCCCACTACGCCAAGCTTAACCCATAAAAATAGCTAATGAGACCCAGGAAGATGGGAAGCCATAGAGGCTTACTTGGTTGATTATGAGAGAGGCCTCTCTCAAAACCAGAACCTGGGGCTCACTCCTCAGTCTGGCAGCCAGGATGACTTAAAAAGGAGCAACGTAACACAGAAGGATCGGGGCAGGATGGAGGGTGTCCTTTTTTGTACAGGTGGGTGGGCAATGGTGAATGGCAATTTTAGAAAAAGGACATCTGAACATTAAGGACCTGGAAATTGATTCCCTCACACTATCCAGGTACTCACATCCTTGGAATGTTTATTCCCAAGGGTCCCTTTTCCAAGTTTGAAGACTACTGCTCATCTGGTGGATCAAAAAGGGGTTGCACCCAATCACCTAGCAGCATGCATTGAAATACAGATCCCCAAGTGCAGATCTTGAGATGTGTGGTTTAGCGGGCCTAGGCTGGAGCCCTGAACACTGTTTTACAATCTCTCCAGGTGACTCTGATGCCCAGTCAGATATAAAAAGCACTGAGCTGGCCCAATTCATTCATTTCACAGATGAGAAAACTGCAGCCTATGGACATTACAAGGCTTGTCCAGGTGACATAATTAGAACCAGAACCCAGAATTCATGACTTCCAGCCCATCACTCTCTTTGCCATTCCAAACAGCCTCCTCTCCTGTGTTCTACAAATTCAGTCTTTCAAGAGCTGAATCTGTCACTACCAAGACAGAGGGGAGTGCAGAGCTAGGGAGAGGAGGGAGTAATGGAGGACAAAGGCACTCGCTGACTTGGAGCTGGGGACAGTGGTACTTACAACAGGTAGCAGCAGACAGCGGTGGCCACCAGCATGGTGATGATCACTCTGCAATGGAAGAGATGCCAGGTCGGGATGGCTGGAACAAGCATCCTCAGAAGGCCTGGCCAGGGCCCAAGCAAGTCCTGGTGTTGGCCCCTTTCTGACTGGCCTTCCCAATGCCACCTGAACACAGGAAGCTGAGTCCTCTCAGGGTTAGAACTGCCAGATGGAAAATAAAGCTCTAGGTGTCACCTCATGGGGATGTTGACCTTGACTACACCCAAGTCACATTATGAATCCTTCCCTTCATCTCCCTTCCCCATCACCTGCTATTTCTCCATCTTAGTGCAGCCATGTTGGGAAAAGACACTGCACAGAGCTGCAATTGCAGCAATCCATTGCAGAGGGGTCTCTGGAATTAAAAAGTCCCTGGACAAAGAAAAGGAAAACAGAAGACCAGAAGGCGGGGCAAGAAGCAACGAGTGTGTGAGCCACCCCTGAGGCAGAGTGGGCTGTTACAGAGAACAGGGACTAGCTACCTGTGTCCACTCAAAGATGCCTGGAGGCAGAAGCTTAAAATGGAGTAGGAGAGACTTCAGTTAGACAGAAGAGCTCACCAAGGTTTGCAGGGGAGGTAAGGCAATGAAAGGGTCACCAAAGTGAAGCTACGTGGGCTTAGCCCTGCAGATCTTGAAGAACAGAGGCAACGCCCATGTGCCCAAGCAGCCTCCAGCCAAAGCTAAACCTAATCAAACCAGGCCCTGTGAACTCGGACCTAAAGCGCCTTAAGTTGGTACCAGAGAAATTAGCATTTGATCCATTCTTTGAACAGTAATAAGCTCTGTCCTTCAGTTCTGTGCTAGGCACGGGGGTCTACAGTGGGGACCAAAGCAATCTCCAACCCGGAGGAGCTCGTAATCAAGGGGAGATGGCACTTATGAGGATGATATGAAGGAGCAACGGGTAAATGGCGCAACAGGTACCAAAAAAACAGTGATGATGGCTAAAAATCATTGGGGACATAGATTGACATGCACAGTTGTTTTACATGTATTATTTCGTGTAATCCTCACAGCAGCCTTAAAGGGCAGGTTTACCATCATCATCACCCCCATTCTACTTACGAAGAAGGTGGAGCTTGAAAGGGTGACATTCGCTCAAGGTCACAGCTGGTGAGGTGTGGAGAAACTGCATCAGTGGCGACACACAGCCTTTACCTTTACTGGCTGGACAGGGTGACCTGACTGGCGTGTCCCGTGTGGGCGGGCTTTCCACCCCTCTAAAGCGCTACCGTTTTCGCTCTCTGGCCTATTTCCGGGCTGAAGGCGGCCCAGGGCAGGCGGGGGGCGGGAGGGGTGAGGTGGGGGGCGCCGGGCGGGCCTTGGGCCAGTGCTCGCCGCCGGGGTGCGGTGGGCCCGGCCGGGGAGGGGTCCGCAGGGAGGCCGGGCCCGCGCGCCATCCTTACCCGCGGTTGGGTCCTTTGGGCACGAACCAGGGCCCGGCGATGCCGATGAGGCCCCAGAACGTGGTGAAGATGACTACCGGGAGGGCGAAGGAGTGCGCCGTCATGGCGAGCGCAGGAGGCCCAGGCCGGGCGCAGCCGCTCCGGAGCGCGGGGAGCAGGGCTGGCGGCGGACCGCGAGCGCACTGGAGCCGGGCTTGCGCATGCGCGCGAGCGCGTCACGCGGGGGCTGGGGCGGGGCCGGCATCCCCAGGAGCCAGGTCCCGTTAGCTTTGATCGGCTGCCGCGGTTTCCCAGATTTACAGGGCAGCGGCGAGTGTCAAATAAACTCTGCGTTATTCAGATAGCAAAAGGTTGAGAATTAAGCATGGTTTTAAAACTTTATTTGAACATCTTTGAAACGAGAGAAGACATCCCTGGGCCAATCACTCAGTGCCCTCGGCTCAAGATGCCTGGAAGAGGGAACTGGCCAATCTTCACACGTCTTGCTAAATACCTAGCACCCTAGGAACTCAACCTGGGGTTCAGAGAGGAGCGAAAGGTCTGGAGGGGATGCACATTACCATGTCTGGCTAGGACGAGGCTGAGGACCATCCCCTCCCCCGGGGTCTGTATGGCTACTGAAAGCGCTGTCAGCCATAATGCTGGTTATTCAGAAAGTCAGACCCTGCGGGCATCAGTCAAGCGATGTGTGAGTGGTGCAGCCAGGCTACTGGCAGGAAGGAGGGTGGAGGTACCAGGCGGCTAGGACTCTGGCCAAGGCAGTGCTTGCTTCAGTTATTCCCTATACCCTTCAGCCTGATCTCTTGTAAGGCAAAAAGAAGAAGCCTCTCCAACTGTGGGATCTCTGGGCCTTGGGGTCTGAAACAAGACAGAGGGCAGCCTGGGCAATGCGTGCTCACTGCGTCTCAGCCCTACGGCCCTATACAAAAAATGTCCTCTCTGCCTTTAGCTGACAAAGAGGAGCCGGGGCAGACCCAAGTTCCTTGAGAAACTTGAGTAGTGAGTGCAAACCCCTACGAAAAACAGCATTTTCAGTCACCCATTCCAAGCAAGCCAACTTCCTCAGGGCACAGATGTCGGGAGGCAGGGTGCATCCCCACCTGGGCTCCACCTCAGGGCCTAGACCCATGGTGTAGGGAGCTGTGTGTGCGGAACTCACAGTGTTGCTCTCTGGACCAGACTTTTGCTCTGAGGATTCTTCAAGGACAGAAGGTGCCACAGCTTGCAGGAAAGCTGCCTCAATTCGGAATGCTTACCCCTAGGGTCCCGGCTACATCCCCCACTCTCAAGGGCCTTCCTCCCTTCCATCCCACCAATTCAGTCATGGTCCCTGGCCTAGGGCAGACTCCAGAATCCCCACAGACACCTACATGAATGGTGGCCAAGTGGACAGTAATGCTGCCGGAACCCTGGCTCCAAGGCCTGTGGTACACCTCAGACCCCAGACTTTGGGGTTGGGAGAGAGATTTTTCTGCATAATGAGAGGCAGAAGTGAGAATGGAATTCCTGGCTGGAAGCTGAAGAAAACAGGAAAGCAGTGACAAAGGCTGAGTGCTGAGGATGGGGTGACAGGAAGGAGTCAGAAACACGGGGAACCAGTGAGTCTGCCATACGGCGAAACACCTGGATGCCATACCTCAGGGGCTTCCAGAACCTTCAGGCATGGGAAGTGGACAGACTGGTTAAGGTCCAGACCACTTGGACTTGCAGCACTGAGCAGGGACCACAGCCAGGAGCCAGGCAGCAAGCAAAGCCAGAATGGAGCACTGTTTCCTGCCTGTCTACACACATGTAAGGCAGGGGCTGAGGGACCCTTTCCTCTAACCTCCCCTGGTTTTCCTCCAATGGTTAGGAAGGCGGGACCGAGGCACTGCATCACCCCAGCTGGACAAGCAGCCTGGGAGCCTACCAGAACGAGGCTGTCCTGGAGGGAAAAGGGCAAGGGCCCACGGGAAGCTCGAAGCACTGGATGCCCTCTTTGCCTGCAGGGTAGTTGCTTCTCAAGCTTGAATGGGCACGTGAAAACAGCCGGTCATGGAGCCTCAGGCCTGGGAATCTGAGCAAGAGGGTCTGGGGTGGAGTATACTTAGTAAGCACCCCCCAGCGATTCCTAGGTTGGGTCCCCAGAGCAACCTTGGGAAGCGTGGTCTAGACCAAACATGATGGCATGTTTAGAGAGCACCTCTTCCCACAATAAGGACATCAGTGGCGATGGACAAGGACAAGGGCTGAAGGCAGTAAAGTCCACTCTGTGCAGCCCAATGTCCATCTTTCAGGGAGCTGGACGCACAGTCATTCATTAATCCTGTGGCAGACTGGGAGAAAGCAGGCACTTGGAGTCTCTGCTGCCATGCACAGAGAGGGAAACTGAGGCACAGAAAAGAGGCAAGGATTAATTGTGGCTGAACCACTGCCTGCAGCAGATCTGGGGCCAGATCCCAAGCCTTCCAAGTACAGGCCTGGTCTTGCCCGCTGCTAAGGAAACCAGGCTCAGCACGATGCAGGTGAAGCACAAGCACCGTGACTGGCGGGAAGCTGCAGGCTCCCTCCGGGGAGATGCTTCCTCTGCGGTCCGGTGCTGCAAATCTCCTTTCTTGAGCGCTCTGTGCAAAGGCATTTTGCTTGCCTCATCCCAAAGGGAGGCCCCGGGAGGAGGTAAAGAAAGTCTCTAACATGAGTCTCCCACTTGAAGTCAAGGCTCCACAATCCCAGGGTGACAGATCCCAGAAGCTCCCAGCTGTCCAGGGGACAAGGGGTTCCTTTACACCCCAGCCCCCAACATTTTCTCCTACTTCAGAAAGTCCTCTGGCCACCAAAACATGGGGTGAAATCTTTGATGATGGGATTATTTCCTGAAGCACCTGAAAAATGAACTTGAGTTAAGAACCTTTCTGCATATTTAAGTGCTGTGAAATCACCACTCTGCTTAGAGTCTTGGTACAACAGGCTGCACGTTCCCGATTACCTGCCTCCCTGGGATGTGGGCTTAACCATCTTGTCACTGCCCACTTACTGGTGCTTGAAGAGTCCCCCAAAGTGGAGCTTCTCGGGCAGCCTAGAATCCGCAGAGAGCCTGTCTCCATGGTCATGAGGAGCAGGACAAGCCTGGGACTGCTGCCCCTCCATGAGCTCTCTATCAGGACAGCTTGGGGGCCTCTGGGCTGGCATGGGCATACAGGAGTCTGTCGGGAGGGTCCGCGATGCAGGCCTTCAGGAGCTCCACTGGTTCCCTGCAGGATGGGAGGGCCTGCTTCTGGGTCACTGCCTCCTCCGTATAGAGCGCTCCCATCCTCTCCTTCCTGAGCCCTGCCCCTCATGTGGGAGGAAGGAGAGGCACAATTAGACTGAGGGGAAAACAGACTGGATGACAACCCCCTTCCCATGCCCAACTGCACCCCAGGGTATGTTCAATGACCACACTGTGGCTGAATGGACTGGGACGGGGCAAGGACGGTTCTCAGGGGCCCCATCTCCCCCACTCTACCCACTCCTCTCCATCATGGCCCATTTCACGTGGGCCTGATTTTGACCACTGGGGGACATGTGGCAACATCTGGAGACACTTGTGATGCCATGTTAGGAGGGCGTTGCTGGTGTCCAGTGGGTGTGGGGCTGAGGCCAGCAATGCTGCTCCAGGCCCTTCCCCCATCAATGGGCCCCCCCACACAGAAGCCCCAAATGTCGCTACTGCTAAGGCTGAGAAACCTTCCTGGGAAGAGGACCTCAGCATAGAGAACTTGGCAGCGCTCTCTGTCTGCTACCGAAGAACTAGCTCACTGTCCCCGTGAGAATAACCCGCAAAAGGGCCCAGCTCACAGCATCATCTTCCCTTTCACCCCACAGAGCAGGAGGCACAGCAACTCATCCCACACGTGCCTGGGCGAAGGCTTGCTGGCCAGGCCCCCACCTGAGCTCTCCCTGCCTCTCTTCTCTCCGCTCCTAACCTTGGCCTGCATCCCCTGCTCAGCTGCACAGCCAGGGCCACTCTGCTTCCTACGGAGTCCCTGTCTACGCTGAGCCCCACTCCTCTGCTGGTGACCCCAGACTCAGTGGTAAGAAACCAGGGTGGAAGGGACAGGGAGAAGACAGGCTGTCAGAGGACACCAGGGGAGAGAAGCCACCACGATAGCTGTTGAGTAAACACCCAGCGTGGGGGACACCTTCGGTTTCCTCTAGTTTTCAGTACTACTTGGAAAGAGGAACATTTCTTGCCTGAGATGTAACTCCCCACCCCCCAGCCTGGTCCACACCAGCCCTCCTGGCTAGTCAGGCTGTTCTACCCACCGACTCCTCCTGAAACCTGACTTCCCCTCCACACGCTGCCTTCACGCAGCCCCTCTTGCCTGCACTGACCTCTTCCCACTGTCTCTTGGGACACAGTCTACACAGACCCCCTTAGATGTGACGTCACTGCCCCGACCTGTCCAGTACTCTGGTTATTTCCAGTATTAGTCTTTATGTTTAAGGAGTGCCATTGGCACTACCTGCCAGATGCTTCAAGCTCTTTATGTGTATTAATTCACTTTACAGATGAAAAACCAAAGCACAAAGAGATAATTCTGGGGTCACTGCCCACTTACTGGTGCTTGAAGAGTCCCCCAAAGTGGAGCTTCTCGGGCAGCCTAGAATCCGCAGAGAGCGGATCACATACCAGTTAACGGTAGTACTAGAATTTAAACCTGGGCAGGCCGGCTCTGGAAATTCATGCTCTCAGCATTCTGTCCTGCTGCCGGCAGTAAGTGTCTCACCTTCCCAGCTAGATGGTAAGCTCCTTGAGGGCAGGTGTCATGTCTCCAGCACCCGCTGGGCTAGCTGATGGCTGGGCACAAACAGAAGCTAATGGACACCTCAGACCAAGCCCCTGTGGTAGCTGACTACCAGGCTCTCCCAGGCTTCAGCTCTGCATGGGACTGGGAAGGCAAGAGTCCCTTCCTTCATTTTCCCTTGCCCAGGAACTCCACGTGTACTTACTTGCACGGGAGTGGGGTGGCACCTGAGCACAGGTGTAGACATGGCTGAAACGCCGGCCCGAGGAGGTCAGGTACCAGTGCTGGATGGCAGGCTGGGGGTCGTACTCTGTGACTGCCACCCCATTCACGGCTGTCATCATGAGCATGTTGATCACCTCGCTGGAAAGCTTAGTCCTCTCATCGGTCCTGATCCGGTTCATGGCACTGAACCCTCGCTCACAGCAGGAGGAGGAGACCGGCACACAGACCACCACTGCCAGGAGCCTGCTAAGCAGGGGGAAGCGGCAGTGCTGGGCCAGGGCGTTCTTGCACAGCATGGAGAACGGGAGGTTCTGGGCGATGGCCTTCAGGCTCCACCACTCCTCCAGGAGGGCCTCCTCGCTGTATCCTGCGGGGAGTGAGAGCTCAAAGTATCTGGCAAGGGCAAGAATATCATCATTCCCAAAACTGGCAAGTTCAATCCCACTTGGCCAGGCCATGGTGTCAAATACCTCCATGTTCTTGAGCTGCGGGGGACGGTCTGTGTCAAACCTTTGCTGGAGATACTCGATCCCAGTGAGGATCACCCTCTCCCTGTCTGCCTGGAACCGCTGTTCTGCCATCTCCATCCTGTCCAAGAAGATGCCATGGAGCTGCCCATCCTTGAGGCCGGCATTGAACTCTTCCTCCTTGGGCCCTGCCTGGCGGCGGAGAGTCTCCAGGGCGACATAGGCCCGGCCCAGGGTGGCGTTCACCTCTGTAATCAGCACGAGCTCTTTCTGGCACACCTCAGACAAAGGCTTGTAGATGCTCAGGAAGTCCAAGAGGAAATGGCAGAACTTGATGAAGTGGAAGCTCTTCATCAGCTTCAGCATGCCTTTGGCCCTGTGCCCGCTCCGGCCTCCGGCCTCCGCCACACTGTAAAGATGCCTGGCCAGGGCGGGCCAGCTCAGGATGAGCGCGTTCAGCGTGCGCCTCCTGCTGGCCACCCACCTGACGGCGTTCAGGTCCTTTAGGCGGATGATCTCCTGCTCCAGGGGAGCTGCCCCTTCCTGCAGCTCATTCAGCCTCTTGTGGGAAGACTGATAGAATCTGAAGATGGTTCGGATGTGCCGGTCACACTTCCTCACCAGGTCGATGCCCCCACAGGCATCTACCACGGCCAGGTGTAGCTGGTGAGCCACACAGTGGACAGGCAGCAGCTGGGGAAGGACCTCCTGGAACTTCCCCACCAGACCTCCTCTGCAGCTCAGCATGGCTGAGCCGTCGGTTCCCAGGCCCACCACCCAACCAGGCTTCCGGAAAGGGATGTCCAGCTCGTCCAGGGCAGAAATGATGGTCTCAAAGTACCCATCCACCGTCACTGCACGTTCCCGATTACCTGCCTCCCTGGGATGTGGGCTTAACCATCTTGTCACTGCCCACTTACTGGTGCTTGAAGAGTCCCCCAAAGTGGAGCTTCTCGGGCAGCCTAGAATCCGCAGAGAGCCTGTCTCCATGGTCATGAGGAGCAGGACAAGCCTGGGACTGCTGCCCCTCCATGAGCTCTCTATCAGGACAGCTTGGGGGCCTCTGGGCTGGCATGGGCATACAGGAGTCTGTCGGGAGGGTCCGCGATGCAGGCCTTCAGGAGCTCCACTGGTTCCCTGCAGGATGGGAGGGCCTGCTTCTGGGTCACTGCCTCCTCCGTATAGAGCGCTCCCATCCTCTCCTTCCTGAGCCCTGCCCCTCATGTGGGAGGAAGGAGAGGCACAATTAGACTGAGGGGAAAACAGACTGGATGACAACCCCCTTCCCATGCCCAACTGCACCCCAGGGTATGTTCAATGACCACACTGTGGCTGAATGGACTGGGACGGGGCAAGGACGGTTCTCAGGGGCCCCATCTCCCCCACTCTACCCACTCCTCTCCATCATGGCCCATTTCACGTGGGCCCGATTTTGACCACTGGGGGACATGTGGCAACATCTGGAGACACTTGTGATGCCATGTTAGGAGGGCGTTGCTGGTGTCCAGTGGGTGTGGGGCTGAGGCCAGCAATGCTGCTCCAGGCCCTTCCCCCATCAATGGGCCCCCCCACACAGAAGCCCCAAATGTCGCTACTGCTAAGGCTGAGAAACCTTCCTGGGAAGAGGGCTTCAGCATAGAGAACTTGGCAGCGCTCTCTGTCTGCTACCGAAGAACTAGCTCACTGTCCCCGTGAGAATAACCCGCAAAAGGGCCCAGCTCACAGCATCATCTTCCCTTTCACCCCACAGAGCAGGAGGCACAGCAACTCATCCCACACGTGCCTGGGCGAAGGCTTGCTGGCCAGGCCCCCACCTGAGCTCTCCCTGCCTCTCTTCTCTCCGCTCCTAACCTTGGCCTGCATCCCCTGCTCAGCTGCACAGCCAGGGCCACTCTGCTTCCTACAGAGTCCCTGTCTACGCTGAGCCCCACTCCTCTGCTGGTGACCCCAGACTCAGTGGTAAGAAACCAGGGTGGAAGGGACAGGGAGAAGACAGGCTGTCAGAGGACACCAGGGGAGAGAAGCCACCACGATAGCTGTTGAGTAAACACCCAGCGTGGGGGACACCTTCGGTTTCCTCTAGTTTTCAGTACTACTTGGAAAGAGGAACATTTCTTGCCTGAGATGTAACTCCCCACCCCCCAGCCTGGTCCACACCAGCCCTCCTGGCTAGTCAGGCTGTTCTACCCACCGACTCCTCCTGAAACCTGACTTCCCCTCCACACGCTGCCTTCACGCAGCCCCTCTTGCCTGCACTGACCTCTTCCCACTGTCTCTTGGGACACAGTCTACACAGACCCCCTTAGATGTGACGTCACTGCCCCGACCTGTCCAGTACTCTGGTTATTTCCAGTATTAGTCTTTATGTTTAAGGAGTGCCATTGGCACTACCTGCCAGATGCTTCAAGCTCTTTATGTGTATTAATTCACTTTACAGATGAAAAACCAAAGCACAAAGAGATAATTCTGGGGTCACTGCCCACTTACTGGTGCTTGAAGAGTCCCCCAAAGTGGAGCTTCTCGGGCAGCCTAGAATCCGCAGAGAGCGGATCACATACCAGTTAACGGTAGTACTAGAATTTAAACCTGGGCAGGCCGGCTCTGGAAATTCATGCTCTCAGCATTCTGTCCTGCTGCCGGCAGTAAGTGTCTCACCTTCCCAGCTAGATGGTAAGCTCCTTGAGGGCAGGTGTCATGTCTCCAGCACCCGCTGGGCTAGCTGATGGCTGGGCACAAACAGAAGCTAATGGACACCTCAGACCAAGCCCCTGTGGTAGCTGACTACCAGGCTCTCCCAGGCTTCAGCTCTGCATGGGACTGGGAAGGCAAGAGTCCCTTCCTTCATTTTCCCTTGCCCAGGAACTCCACGTGTACTTACTTGCACGGGAGTGGGGTGGCACCTGAGCACAGGTGTAGACATGGCTGAAACGCCGGCCCGAGGAGGTCAGGTACCAGTGCTGGATGGCAGGCTGGGGGTCGTACTCTGTGACTGCCACCCCATTCACGGCTGTCATCATGAGCATGTTGATCACCTCGCTGGAAAGCTTAGTCCTCTCATCGGTCCTGATCCGGTTCATGGCACTGAACCCTCGCTCACAGCAGGAGGAGGAGACCGGCACACAGACCACCACTGCCAGGAGCCTGCTCAGCAGGGGGAAGCGGCAGTGCTGCGCCAGGGCGTTCTTGCACAGCATGGAGAACGGGAGGTTCTGGGCGATGGCCTTCAGGCTCCACCACTCCTCCAGGAGGGCCTCCTCGCTGTATCCTGCGGGGAGTGAGAGCTCAAAGTATCTGGCAAGGGCAAGAATATCATCATTCCCAAAACTGGCAAGTTCAATCCCACTTGGCCAGGCCATGGTGTCAAATACCTCCATGTTCTTGAGCTGCGGGGGACGGTCTGTGTCAAACCTTTGCTGGAGATACTCGATCCCAGTGAGGATCACCCTCTCCCTGTCTGCCTGGAACCGCTGTTCTGCCATCTCCATCCTGTCCAAGAAGATGCCATGGAGCTGCCCATCCTTGAGGCCGGCATTGAACTCTTCCTCCTTGGGCCCTGCCTGGCGGCGGAGAGTCTCCAGGGCGACATAGGCCCGGCCCAGGGTGGCGTTCACCTCTGTAATCAGCACGAGCTCTTTCTGGCACACCTCAGACAAAGGCTTGTAGATGCTCAGGAAGTCCAAGAGGAAATGGCAGAACTTGATGAAGTGGAAGCTCTTCATCAGCTTCAGCATGCCTTTGGCCCTGTGCCCGCTCCGGCCTCCGGCCTCCGCCACACTGTAAAGATGCCTGGCCAGGGCGGGCCAGCTCAGGATGAGCGCGTTCAGCGTGCGCCTCCTGCTGGCCACCCACCTGACGGCGTTCAGGTCCTTTAGGCGGATGATCTCCTGCTCCAGGGGAGCTGCCCCTTCCTGCAGCTCATTCAGCCTCTTGTGGGAAGACTGATAGAATCTGAAGATGGTTCGGATGTGCCGGTCACACTTCCTCACCAGGTCGATGCCCCCACAGGCATCTACCACGGCCAGGTGTAGCTGGTGAGCCACACAGTGGACAGGCAGCAGCTGGGGAAGGACCTCCTGGAACTTCCCCACCAGACCTCCTCTGCAGCTCAGCATGGCTGAGCCGTCGGTTCCCAGGCCCACCACCCAACCAGGCTTCCGGAAAGGGATGTCCAGCTCGTCCAGGGCAGAAATGATGGTCTCAAAGTACCCATCCACCGTCTCACTGTAGAGTGGGGCCAGAGTGAGGTAGGCCTCCTTCACCTCCGTCTCCTTGAAGTAGCGGAGGTAGATCCCCACGCAGGCCTGGCCGGCGGCGTCTATGGAGCCGTCCAGCAACACGCTCACGCAGGGGGAGCCCCGGACATCCTGCAGGATCGCCCTCCTCAGCGTCTCAGAGATGTACTTGATGAACTGCGTGCATGCTGTGCGGTTTCGGTACTTGCCCAAAATCACGGTCCCAGTGCTTTGGAGGAGCTGCAGAATCTTCTCAAAGTCATTCAGGGGCCTCGAGTGGTACGCAATGGAGTAGGCGGCATTGAAAAAGTGCTCCATGTTTGCCATCAGGTCACTGGAGATCTCTGGGACGAGGGCAGCCTGGGGGGTGTCCTCTCTGCTCTCAGTGGTGTTGACGCAGAGCTTATGTGCTTTGCTGACTTCATGGTATTTTAAAGTCTCCACTTTGAAAGGCCCTGTGTAACCTCGCACTAACCGGGATGATCTGTCGTGGAGACTAGGTCTGTCTTTGCAAGCTGAGCAGAAGAGTTTGGTCTCTTTTGGATCAATTACTAGCCATGGGAACTGACCAAACCACGACCTCTGAATTGAACGGGGTCTGTAAGTCCTTTTGGTTTCCCTTGGTCCATCTACTTCGACTTCACAAAGGCTGGAATTATAGTAGGAGATACATGTCTCCACAGAAGGAGCTGGAAGCAATGGAGATTCTAAAGCCGAGTGTTGTGTGTCTGCTTCTCTAACAGCCACTTTCTTCTTCTTCCCTTTGGAGCAAATCAAATTGTGCTTGGTTTTGCCCAGAACTCTGCAGTCTCCTATCTGCTAAGACAGCCCAATTCCATAAGTACCCCTTATGCAAGACAGAGAACAGGAATGTGATTCACCTTTCTAGAAGTTGTTGGTGGCTTTTATTTAAGCCTTTCCTCATTATTACCTGTGAAAGTCAGTCTGGCTCCCTAGGAGATTTTGCTAATCCTCGAGGGTTCTTTAGCCAGCCTCCCCGGGGGCTCTCTATCCACACAGCTAGCCTGGGATCAGATGACATCAGCTGTTAATAAGCTTAATTAACCACTTTGGCCAGAGATGCTATTGGACAAACAGGTGGCTTTAATCTCTTGGGAGGCACCACAAACAAATGAGGTGAAACAGTCCTGTCTTCTTAGGAGCCTCAGCAAGAAGGGAGGTACTGCAGTTCACATGGCAGTGACCTGCCAGGAACCCACAGACCAGCGGTGTCACTAAGAACCAGAGGGCGCAAGAGGAGAGAGGCCCACAGGCCTGTGGGTCACGCGGTCCTCATGCGCAGTGTCTACCATATTCCTCCTCCCATCAGCTCTACCACAGGTCCCTTCAGCACTTCCGTTCAACAAAGGACCTTATTTTTCCTCAGTTTCCCAGGTTACCTGATACTCTTGAGGGCAAGATTAACTTCTTATTCATCTTTGTCTACCCAGAACCCAATAGGGGGCCTGGTGCACAACAGTTTTGGGACAAGTATGGCTGAACTAACATTGTGCGATTTGCCATAGCCACGTGGCCCCCTAGACGTGCCCTTCAAACCCAGGTCAAGACTCACCTGGAGGATGAACATTTCCCCACTTTGGTCTGTTGGGGTCCTTGATCCAGGGTGCAGCTCTGCGCTCCAGTTTTGAGATCAAGTCTGGCTTGGCAGCAGCAGGCCCTAATGCAGGGATGAAGAATCATTCCGATATCACTGCTACGGGTGATCGAGCCAAGCAGCCTGCCTGATGCTGTTCGCGGTGTCTGAGATACTCAGGGGTGCCTCCGGGTCCATCTCTCAATAAGGTCTATTCAGCCAGGGGCACAATGAAAACATACCCATCTAGGGTGCCAACTTATTCTCAAACCTAAGAGGCAGCCAGATTCGCGTACATCCCTCAGCCAGGATGAAGAACTCCCACAGCTCCACAGAGCCAACCACGGAGCCATGAGACAGCTAAACACACCTAGAGCAGAAAAGTGAAACAGGAAGAAACACAGAGGACAAAACAGAAGGAGGGGATATAGGGACGACAAAGCAAGCACAAGAGAAGTGAAAGCATGCCACCATCTGTCCCGCGCATGTGCCCCTCAGCGACACCCACGGCTGGCCTTTGTGCACTTGTCTAACTCCGTGGATTATTTTAAAGGCCCCTTAAATATGTCTACCACCTGCAGTGGGACCTAAAATCTGACTAGAAGAGACCTGTGTCTTTGGGTTAAGCACTGCCCTTTATTTAAAATATGAATATTCACCAAGAGTATGCAAATAAACCACTTTCTGGATTAAAATAAAATCCATTAATATCTACTTATATGCTTTTGTATGGGTGTATGTCAATGTGTGCACGAACATTCTTTGAAGGGACATACAAGTAACTGGTAACTGTGGGGACTTCTGGGGAGAGACCAAAGGATGAGGTAGAAGGGAGATTATCTTTCCTATTCATTCTTTGGATCACTGAATACATTTACATTTATTGTAAGTGTGCATATGTATCTACATATTTACTACTAATAAAAATATAATTCAATACATTATTGAAGTGTGGTAGACTGAACAAACATACCTAAACCTCTATAATGAGAATAAGGGAATAGTAATAACAAAAAGAGGCCAAAGCCCAAGAGAAACGCTGGACTTTCTAGAAAGCTTAATGTTTGTGGACGAGGAAGGAGAGAAACAAGAGAACAGGCTGAACACCAAATTCTGGCAAAAGGGGCAACAAGGAGAAGGAAGTGGATCTGACCACAGAATCCCCATAAGATTCAGGATCAGCGGCACCAGATGTGGCAGGTGGCAGACAAGGAGGCGGAGGAAACCGGACGGGGTCAATGCAGAGCCCAGGTCTATTCCTATTCCAGGAAACCAGAAAACACCACTGCCCTCACCTGGGGAGGAGAGCAGAGGTTTAGACCACAGGAAAATGTAACCAAAAAGCCTCCAGACCCAGGGCTAGATGGAGAAGGAGCTACAGTGCAAATAGGGATGAAGAACCCACGCTCTGAAAGGTACTTCACTCGGCTCCAAGGACACTGGCTCAGCTTATCGCCCCACGAGCTCCTGAAAGAGATTTCTTTGGAGAAACTGAATCCCCACCCGCCTCCTCCCCAAAAGGCCTGTGGACACAGACTTCTGTGGACTCTACAGTGAGACATCCAGGTTCACAGCTCATCACCCTGAGACCTACCCCTCAATGAGTCCCAGCCAGTTTTAAGGCTTTACTCTTAAATATGATTGAACCTAAAGAAATTTATTTAAGAAAAGTCTTTGACATGGAACAAAAAGGAAAAAGGATTGGAGGGACGAGAGATACTGCAGGGAACAAAACAGGCTTCAAAAAGCAAACTGGAATATCCCAGAAAGAAAAGCCATCCAGGAAAGGAGCAATCAGGGCTCTCAGATGAAAAAACTGATAGAAGAAATTTAAAAATTAAATAGAATTGTCAGAAAATAAAATTGAGAAAATCTCAAGAAAGCAGAAGTACAGAAGCAGAAAATAGAAGAAAAAGAAAAAATCAAACAAACCAGAGGCTCATTTTAGGAAGACTGACATCTAATTAATAGGATTTTTTTAGAAGAAAGGAAAGAGAAAATAGGAGGAAATAATACGAGAATGTTTCCCCAAATTGGAAAATGGGTCTCTCCATACAGAAGGGACACACCAGGTACCCAGAACAAAAATGGAAAAATATCCCATATTAAACACTTCAAAACACTCGACTGTATCTTAACACATTTCAGAGTGGAAAAAATAGGTTGTGATCAAAGATTAAAGAATAAAAAGGCATTTAGACTTTTCAAGAACACCAGTAAAACCTAAAAGCAATGCTTTCAAAATGCTGAGGAAAACTCTTTCCAAACAGGAATTCCATGCCCAACCAAGTTCTCAACTGGGAGGGCAGATAAGGCATTTCCTCTCGTGCACCCTTTCTTAGGAAGTTACTGGAAGATGTGCTCCAACAAAATGAAGATATAAACCTAAAAGAAGAGAGAGATCCAGGAAACAGGAAAGAGACAAAGGGAAGCCTGAAGCCACAGCTTGCAGCAGGCCTAGCAAGTAATGAGCTGAGATAAAGCAGGGACTGGTAGACCCAGTAATGGAAGCCTCCAGAAAATGAGTGAAATCGACAGGGCACAGGATGTTTGATCATGTGGAAGACACTCATCAGAGGAGTTTTATAATTCCATTGGAGAGTTTGAGAAGAACTGGCGATAGTACAGAAAACTAGCAAAAAACAAAAACAAAGAAAGCTAAAAAAATGTTCAATTCTGGTGGAAAAAAAAATCCTACAAAGAAGGAATTACCATCATAATATGTCACTCTGTTCAGAACAACACAAAATCATAATTATGCAAGTAATTTACATTGAATTAACCAAAAAAGTATGATATACCTGTTCTGAGAGGATGGAGGGAAGAAAAGTAGGGGCTTGGGGTGACGTAAGGGGCCATTTCTTCATCTTGCAGAGTAGGAATCAATAGATAAAATCTAAAATCAATAAATCAGGAATAGCAATAAACATACGCAATAGGGCATCAAAGCTTGATTCTATCTGCCTGTTTTGGCTCAACGTCCAAAAAAAACAGGAGCCAACTCACCCCATTCCATAGCTAGACCACTGAGGCCTGACTTGGAAAAGAGGGTGACTGATGTGTGGCCGTAACCCAAACCCTCGCTGCTCAGAGGGGGTCAGCGCTGGAAGTGAAGAGGTTAGGAAGCTGGTATTGGGGGACACCCCACATTACTGTGGAGAGGGATGGGGTGGGCCGCTTTCCCTTGACCTTAATTAAGCCTAATGGTCATGATATCCTGACCTTTATCTCCTGGGCTGTGGGGCTGCTCATGAATCCAGGCCTGGACAAGATTAAAGGCAGAAGTGCAGGCTCTTCACGGTGTCCATGCTGGGAAGAGCCTGCATTCCCAGGGCTTGTCAGAGCAAAGGGTACAGAAGTGTTTTCCATGGTCCAGACATGGCCCCACAGGGAAAGAGATGTGCCCATGTAAAAAGGACTCTTCCCACAACAGTCTACTGGCGTGCCACTCCCCAGGGAGGAGCCCAGGTGGGGCAGACGGCTGAGGCAGGCATCTATCCTGGTAAAGGGGGCTGCAGTGATAGGGCACGTGGACCCACACACACACCAGAGAACCAGCTTTCAACTGCCCCAGCTACAAGCAACCACTACTGGACTGTGCTGACGCCAGGTAAAACCTTTCTCACACCTGTCTACCCTGCCCGCCACCACTGTCCACTTGGGTGCAACGGGAGCCCTGGCACAAGCTGGGCAGAGGAGGAGAACTGTGTTTACCACAGAAGTTTCTAGACATGAAAGCAGGTCAAGGTGGGAAAGGCAAGAAACTCCAACTTTAAATGAAGTCCAGGTTTTTCACCACTACACAAGGACTGGAATTCTATTTCCTAATTTTTTTTTTGTAAATTTTTGGAATCATTTAAAAATTACAAAAAAGTTTTAACAAAAATGCAAAGAATATACCATATATATAATGTTTTTCTGACTGGTTGAGAGTACATTGTTTTCAGTACGTCCTTTACCCCTAAATGCATCCATGTGTATGACTCAAGAGAAAGAACGTTTCCCCGTGGGGTAGGCCCAATTCTAACAAGAGCCGCTGTGGCTCCGAACCTCGCCTCCCTGTGCCTTGGAGTGTGGAGGAGTGTGAACTGCTACCACACACCCATGATCACGTTATGTCATGTGGCAAAAAAGAGGTTATCTTTGGTGACTTAACCTAATCACATCAGCCCTTTAAAAGTCCGTCTCAAAACACTGAGAGGATCCGACACACTGCTGCCGCACTGAGAATGGGGCGGCCGCATGGAGAGGACCTGAGAGTGGCCTCGAGGAGACGAGAATGACCCGTGGTCAACGCCAGCAGGAACACAGGGGCCTCAGTCCTACAACGGGAAGAAACTGGATTGTGCCAACAACCCGAATGAGCTGGGGAGCGACACTCGCCAGAGCTCGTGCTAAGAGGCCGGTCTGGCTGATACCCTGACGCCAGTCATGTGAGACCCTAGGCAGAGAACAGCTGAGCCCACCTGGACTTCTAACCTCCGCAACTTTAAGACAATAAATAGATGTCTTTTAGCCACTAAATCGTTGATAATTTGTGGTATGGCAACTGAAAGCTAGTATGTCTTACATAACCAAAATCAGAAGAGTTAATGATATGAGTATCTACTCCACAGTCCACGACTAAATTTCTTTAATTGTCCTCACAATGTCCTGTGTCTCTTATCCATGTGTCTGTCTTGCACGGGCCAGCATCGAATCCAGGGCCATGCAGCACTCAGGTGACATGCCTCTTTAGTCCCCTTTAACTTGGACCAGTTTGTCAGTTCTTCTTGGTCTGTCCTGGTCAGAATATGTTTTTTCAGTTTTTTAAAAAAACTGTGGTAAAATACACATAATACAAAATTTGTCATCTCATCCATTTTTAACTGTAGTTTAGAGATATGAAACATTCATAATGTGCAGCCACCATCACCATCCATCTCCACGATTTTTTTTCTGTTGTAAAACTGAAACTCTGCCAGTAAACAATATCCCCCCCATCACCCACTCCCCAGCCCCTGCAACTACAATTCTTTCTGTCTCTATGAATTGACCACTCCCAAGTACCTCATGTAAGTGGAACCACACAGTCTTTATCTTTT